TTGATTGCTTGCTGCCAATGTACTGGAAACTTACTGATAGCCTCGGGAAACAGTGCCATTCTGCACGAGTTCAAGATTGAGACGCAACAAGTATCAAAGATAAAGTTTATAGATTTTGAGCCTAGACCATGGTCATTGGGATTCACGTTTATACCTACGCGCATGGAAATCATAGAGGATTTTATAGCAATCATGGATAATACAACTTTATCCGTTTTTCGTCTTACAAACTCAATGTACGAAGATATTGACCAACTTAGTTCTTTAACTTCCACTTCTTCTTCCGTCGACAAAACGTCTATATCCACAGATTCATCTCTTGTAGAAAATAGCAGTAGTCTTGGAAATGACGATGCGTCACTGCAAGGAACAAATATAAAACACAAAGCTGTAGATCAAGATTGTCAATATGTGACATCTGAAAATAATGAGACGGTAATATCCAATGTAAAATCTAAGGATAAAAAACACAAGGGCATAAAAGGAAGTATATGGTATAAGTCAGAAACAGGTGATTTCAATAAAACAAAGGCAAGTAATAATAAGAATTACATAGACTGGGAACATCTAATATACAATGAAAAAGATGAGATGCAAAGGCTAATTACGCAAGGAATTATTGATCCCTCTTCACAGCCATTAACGGTGAATTTGCCATTGATAAGTTTAGAAAGAGTTGGTCCAGGTCATGCTCTCAGTCCTTTTATATTAAATCCAGCGGACATAAGGATCTTTATTAAAACAACTTCACCTGATGTAGGCTGGTCTGAAAATTATATGATAAAAAATTTATTATGTCTAAAAATCAATGCTGGAAATAGTAATGCCAAGGTAAACGGAATTCTAGAAATCTTCAAATGCATGGTGTTGAAACCATTGTATATGAAGAAGGAATGTAATATCACTAGTGTGAAGAAGTCTATGTTGCGATCAGACAAGTACAGATACTTGCAAGGTATAAGTTGCTTTGTTTGTACTACGCAAGAAGGATATTTGTATCACTTTGCCGCGGCAAGCAACAGTTCTGTGGATGCGACATGCCTGACCACTTATCCATTCACCGCACCTGTTCATCATGTGGCACTGGAGCACACAGTACTTCATGCATTGACCGAGGCTGGTCTCGAATCCTATACATTACGTCTTTCTCATCATATCGTGAAATTGTCAAATAATACAGATGATACGAGAGTGACTTGTCCCAATATGATCGAACCGATAAGTTTGATTGGTTTAAGACCGTTTTTAGGAATACAAAAATTGTTGCATACAAGGAATTATATAATTTTGCTGGCTAAAGCTGATAATTCATGGACAATGTATTCTTTGAATTTACCTAAATTCGAGAATGTATATTTCGATATATTGAGTGCAGCAAGAAATCACAAATCCTCTAGTCCAAGCACTTATCGACATTTACTGGGAGAAGCACATGCCTTGATACGCTTAGCAAAGGATGTTTTCTATGATATGAATAATGAGGAATTCGATGATATGACACGCAAGAACGATCTCAAATTAAAAAATCTCTACAATCAATCGTGCGCGTTGCTCGCGGATTACTATATACGATCGGAAAATGAATCGGATTGGGATTTATGTATTTCTTATTACAAAATGTCTGGGTTAAAGCCTTCGGAAGTATTATCCAGGAAATGCTGTCAGGACGCAGCAGGACTTTTGACGTTCTTGACAGATGTGCTTCTCACAATGAAAAGCGGATCCGAAGCGGACGCGCTTTTCCAAGGACAAAATATAATAGAGATCATCTGTAAGTTGGAGAAAGAGGATTTGTTGAAATTGATCTTCGGCAGTTCTGTGCTAAGGGAATATGCTACTGAGAAATTGATAAATCTTCTGCTAACACATGAAACCAGCGATATCGTTCAACTCGCCTTGGCGCTTTTATACATCCAAGCAGACAAACAAGAACAAGCGGAGAAGGCATTAGAACCAGTTTCCGTGCGATGTATCAAGCACATTGTTTTGGAACGCTGGGAACTGTTGTTCGATGTAGCTGCAATGAAAAAGAGAAGTCCTACGATTGCTACTTTTTCGGATTTTGCTGGTACCTTGATGCTCATAAAGAACACTACTTTCGCCGATATTCTGATACAAATAATAGAAGAAGAAGATACATTGTCATTGCATCAAATCATACAGGTGTTCCTGGAGTATTTGCCATCGCGAGTTGGAAGAGACGGACACAACGCAGCCACCACTTTGCAAGTTTTTCTCGAGAAGTATTTACATAATTATTTCAGTTCGAAATTCATGATGGAATGGCCAACTGTAAATAAAAATCAGATACGATCAGATTTTGCTCTCATTGAGGCATTCAAACTATTAGTGCGATCATATTTAGGGAAATTAACTCAAACAAGAGTGTATAAAACAGATCCCAAAGAGGATCAGGAAGAAAATGATAAAGAGTACTTTATGTTCGCAAAATATCGACCGAGTTATTTGAACAAAATGCCACCGTATGCCAAAGATTACCAAAAAATTTTAAGCATGAACGATTTTAAGGATATAACGAATTTTAGCAACGCATCCGAAAACGAAAAGACTATATCCAAGGAATTGTTTAAGTTGCAATCCGTATTGTCATGCGAATTTCTGCCGATTGAATGTTTGCACGAGGTCAAGCAGTTTCTCGAAACGCAAAATATCGACGGAAATTTATCTCTTAAGACATTATGCATTCAGAATACGGAAGAAGTAACGATAATTCTGATGGATAGCTGTCCGCAAACTGTAGTACAATATGCGAAGGTATTTTTAATATACAATAACAATGAGATATCGAATTTTTATCTAATATTTTGTCTAATATTTTATCTAATATTTTATAAGATAAGTTAATGTCTTTTTACATATTTCAGGATAAATATACGAAGGATACTGAGTGGAAGTTTCTTATTGAATTAACACGGAACAAAATTGCCACTTCAACGATGGAACAGGAGCTACATCTCTTGTACACACAAATTATGAAAGGTAAGTCGAACATTTAATATAAACAATACTCTGAACAGAATATGCAATAGACAGTATATAATGCAATAATTTTTTCTGAATTTTTATAGAAATCCTGAATTATTTACCGCATGCATTGTCTATGAAAAGTCTACATCGCATATTGCCGAGAGATGACATGGCAGCATTTCAAAGATGCACTGAAATGTGCAATCAAATTATGCATGCGGATCATGTAAAATCATTGATAATGGAAACTGGACAACAACTTTTGACAACTCTAAAGTTGTGAACATAAGGTTTTATTAAATATCATTTAGCTAATTTCTAGACAAGGAAGTGATAATACTAAGGAATTACGAATATAAATTCCGATATATCACATTTTAACAATATTGCGGAAAATTACTTTGTGTGCACTTATACTCGCAGATTAATCATTTCTACAAACATTTCAGACATATGTTCCTGATTAATCTGATCAGTTATGTAAACTGATGTTCATTAGTTAATAGTTGTGCCGATGCACGCATTTTTAACAATCAATAACTTTCATCAATTATTAAATGAAATTCGAAAAGAGATATAAATAGAATTCATCTATAATTAACTGTTGAATCGTTCTATATAGATATATTATATTATAACTAAAAATATAAAGTCTGTTCCAGAGCAAAAGTGATGTAATACTTAATAAAGCTTTATCTAAAATAACGAATGTATACGAAAATTAGATATTTGGAGTGCATTACATCATAAATATTAAAATATTAAAATATAATTAATTATAAAAATATTTAAATATAATTAATTAATGACTGCATTTATAAATAATTATATAAATAATTATACAATGTTTGAATGCTCTACATACACAGATCGTATCAAGATTTTTCAGAGTTTAATTATCAATCGAATTCATTCTGCTCTGGAACAGAAGGTATGTCTTTAGTGAAATGAATTTTACTAAAATAGTTTTTATCAAATCTGTTGATACTAACGAGTAGTTTTATGTAATCAATTTTTGAGTGTTACAAAATATGTAACTTTGATGTGCCTTTAGCAATAATTTCTTTTTATTATAAATCTAATTATGTTAGAATGATTAATAATATTTATAATTCATCATAAAAAATAAATACATAATAACCTCTCAGTTGCATTTTTATCTTATCCATGATTTCTATTCCTGACAAAATAATCAATAATCATTCTATTAGAACTATTAATAAAAGAAAGAAATATAAAATTCTATATTTTTATTAATGTTGTAATAATAATTCATAAAATAGTTTCAGTATATATACTTATAAAAAAGATTGCAACTTTCTTTTCGATGGGTTTCAGAATGCAGCCTACTCACTTAATAGATCCATAAGAATCAATCGTTTGGTGAATAGGTTGTCTTTCGAAATTAATCCAAAAATGAAGTCTACAACTTTTTAATGTCCATGAGTGTACATAAAATTTTAAATAACAATTTTATGACAAAATCAAGAGAGAGTTTAAAATTAGATTTTAAAATTAGAATAGAATCAAGATTTAAATTTGAGTAATTGGAATATTTTCAATAGAAATAAATTTAAAATATACACTTACATCTATTTTTTATAAAAACAAAAATAGATATTAGAAATGTAAGATATTGACAAATCCTTATAGTTAATATAATAGAAGTTTGTTCGCGTCGCATGCTCCAACATGTTCCTGCCATAGTTCCTACTCACTCTAATGAGAGCATTGGAGTAAGAAAGAGTTATGACAGGAGCATATTGGAGCATGCGACGCGAACAAACCTTAGATTACCCTGAAATATTATTCAATTGTTATTCATAAATCATATTTTACGTTAACACTAAATGAGTTATTTGTCCCAGTTTTATATTTCTTATATATGTATATACAGAATATCAAAGTTAGAGAGCCAGTACATATAAAAATGCAATAACTCAACAATATCTTAAATGTCATCTATTTGTATGTACATTTTTTGTGTTTAATTAGAATATCTTAGAATTTAATTAAATGTTAGAATATATCGAAGACATTCTATTATTTGTTGATTACCTATGTAATTCCGAATGTATTCCTAAATAGTCTATATAAAAATGAACCATTGTATAATCCCTGATAGCATTTGTGTCCGTTTACATTATTCCAAATTCCTTATTTAATCTTGGTAAATCTCTAGAAGAATATATTATGGGTATTTTAAATACATGAGTAACTGTTATAATGCTTTTATAGGCGCAATTTATATTAGCTACAAAATATTTCATAAAATCGTATTAAAAGAAAAATATAAATAATCGCTCGTATTTAAATATATGCAAAACAAAATTGAACAAAGAATTCTTTTCTGTGTAAGAATTCTTACCTGTTCTCTACGGCTTCCATTAAATCATATTTGCGCATCAATGATATAACTAATCTTAACGTTGACCATATTGTATTCGACATTGCTTTCGGAGGTACACTATTAGCTTGTGGACCTCTTCCAGCAGCTTGTTGATTCAATGCTGTCAAAAGGTGCTCACCTGCCTCCCTTTAACATAATTTTAATATAATAATTTCATTGATACATTATTTTTACAAGTAGTTTGAAAATTATGTCTATATTTACTGATATGCTGCAAGATTAACGCAAGATATGCCGAGATTGTAACGTGCTCTAATAAATCCAGGAGATAATTCTAAGGCACGATGATACGCATTTACAGCTTCTTCTGATCGTTGACCATTAGCTAGAGTAGCTCCCAATCTATTCCATAATCTGGAATCCTTTTGGGAATATTCAAATGTGTGTATTAGTTTCATTTATTACAAATAAATTTTACAGAAATAAATTTTACTTACATCGGGACGCACGTGCAACGCTGTTTGAAAACAATCCACAGCTTTGTTGTAATCATTCGATAAATTGAACAATATACCTAATCCACACTGTACGTCCGCATCAATTTCATCTCGAGGATTCATTCTTGCGGCTTGAATATACAGATCTTTGACTTCATCATATATTTTGCTACAACGAAATAACATGTAAAAAAAAATGTCCTAAAATTAAAACGACTTTTGACTTACTCATATAATAAGGTAGACACATTGAAATTCGGATGTTCATCTTTTTTAATATTAGATTCTGAACCTGCAAGATGTTTGTATTTTTCATTCTTTAATAACCATTCCTTTAGTGTTAGGCAAGCTTGCTTTTGGTAAGACTCGTTTGCATAAGAAGCTGCTAATGTCATGAGAGCAACGCTGTTCGATGGATCCAAACACAGACAACGATTTAAAGCGGAGATGGCCAAAGGATCCTGCTCATTTTCAGCTTGTGTCTTGCCAAGGAGTAACCAGGCTTCAATATTATTTTCATCCTGTTGAGCGGCAGCTTCAAAACATAGTACAGCACTTGGTAAATCACCCGCCTCTAGTCGTTTCTTGCCTTCTGCCAAAGCATTTGGCAAATCTTTCATAGGATTTGTCTCAGAGAAATCATATTCCTTATTAAATGGATCATAATATGTGTCGAATTCTGATAACCACGGGTGCGTATAGGAGTTTCCATCTGCAGAGATCTTATCCCATTCTTCTTGAAATCGTTTCCATAATGACTCCATATTATCTCCTAAAATGTTAATTATTCTTATATTAATAGAGTCATTGTAATTAAAGACACACATGCTTAGTTCCAAAAAAAATATTACCTGCAACAGAATTTTCTTTTACAAATTCGTCTATCCATGTACCTGCAAATTCTAATTCTTCTTCTACTTTATTCAAAACTGTATTGTCATTGAGATTAGCTGCATCATTTTCTATAAATTGTTCTATCCATTCCTCGCTTGTACCATTCAAGTTGATTGCTGTTTGATTGCTTTCTATAGGAATATCACCTTCTCGTTCCATGAATTTCATAAACCTTGAGTATGCCAATTTTGGCTCTTCAGCTTCCTTAATTTGAACAATATTATTTTTATTAGTAATATCCTGTACAGCATCTGTCTTATATTCCAAAAAATCTTCTGCCCATTTTGGATCTAAACCAAATTCATTTATCTCATAATTTGTGCCTTCCTCCTCTTGAACGGGTAAAATAGATGCATTCCATATATCGTCTGCATTTAGTTCCTATAATTCACTTGTAATAATTATCTTGTAATAAATTTAGAAATAAATTACAATTCTACAGAAATAAATTAAATAAAATTACGTCTAGAGATTTAGATGTAAGATAAGGATTTCCCCAAGCTGTATTCAAATCATTCTGTAAATCCGTTATGCTCTCAGATCCAGTTTCTGAATGAATATTCTGATTCCTTATTTCCTGTAATAGATTATTCATTCAAAATATCTGCAGGCAAGCAGATTTCTCTAAGAATTGTAGGATAATTAATTTGCAATAATGAAATATTTTACAATGCTAGAAATAAGTATAATTGTATAAAGATAAATTTAATAAAATTACGTCTGATGTAAGAGATGTAAGATAAGGTCCCCAAGCTTTGTCCAAGTCATTCTTTAATTCCCTTATGATCTCAGGTCCAGTTTTTGGGGGATGAATACTCTGATCTATTTCCCTCATTTCTTGTAATAGATTATCCATTCGAAACGTCTGTGGACAGGCAGGTTCCTCTAAGAATTGTTGGACCAATTGATCTGCGTCCGGTGTTTGGAACGTTTCCGACGAACTAAATGGTCGATGAATTCCTTCTTCCTTGAAGCCATGATCTCGCACATAATGCGATGCCAAACGTATTAGAGAGCTGGAACCTCCACAGTCTCCTTCTACTAATTCACGAAATGCCATCGTTTTATATTGTTATTGGATTCCTGTATTGAAAAAATTTTCTATTTTATTTTCTTATATATTTCTTATATACTTCTTATATATTCTTATATATTTTTATATAAACATCTATATTATCTACATTATCTATATTATCTACATTAAATATGCTATATTATCTACATTAAATATGCTATATTATCTACATTAAATATTAAGTATATATTGAGTTCAACAGTAGATACTAAAGCCTAATCTACAGTGCTCTTTGCTTATTGCTTTTTATCTCTTGCTATATTCTCTTTTTGCGACTGTTTCAACAATCATATTTTTTGTTACATCATATGTTTCTTGTTTTTTTCAAAATTCATTTTTATCTTGGGCGACAGAAAACGAAGAAACAGAATAAGAGGCAAAAAGGTAAAAGATAAAAAGTGGTAAAACGCAAGAAATATTGAACATATAATATGAAACGTGATTTTACCTAATGAATCAAAGAGATAAATATTTTAGGTACACGAAATTTAATTGCAAAGTCATAGAAAGTTGTAGACAAAAGTCAATGTATCATACGCGTAAAGCATAGATAGGCAATTGCAAAAGTTTTAATCTCGTATTATGTAGAATAAATTGTTCAAAGACAAGAAGGACAAGAAGATAGCTGCAATTGAGCGTTCAGAATCCGAAGTTAGCGTATGATTGTCAAAAAGAAATGCTCATCGCGTGAAGTTTGATGATATTAGTCAACCAATTCTGTCAGTGTTGTTTCGCTCGTGAGCCGCGTAAAAACAATGATCACCTCGATATTTCCTCGTCGTTTTCGTCCGTTCCGTCCTTGTTGTTACACACTCAACGTTATTGTGACGTACTCTTTCAGAACATTACAGAGCAGCAAGATTTTGGTGATCGAGACTTTGCACCGGAACTGAGGAAGGGGAAAAGTACGAAGAGGACTGGACTCTCGCCGATCGAACGCGCGCAATAGATCGGTGAGTAAAAGAGAGAAAGAGAGAGACAGCGAGAAAAAGAGAGATAAAGTTACCGGAGGAGAAACTTGGAAAACGGAAAACATACATCTCTCCTTTTTCCGATAGGACGCTGATTAGAAAAATATATTAATCTGCTTTAATAATGAATTCGGAACAATACATTATTTATTTCGTCCGTTATTTCAATAATCTGCGCCTTCTGCACTTTGCGAGAAGTGCATATTTGTGATCGCGGCGAGTGACGAATGATGTGTTCGGGAAGAGACTATTAGCTACTCTGTTATTTTATCTTCGTTGTTTATTAGACATAAAACAAGGATAGAATGATACATAGCGCTAATAGCGTTTCCCCGAACACACCTGAATTGACGTTAGGCAGTCGAAGCTGCTGAACGCTGATTGGCTTCGGCCATGTTGAATTCCTTCGATTATCGAAATTTTGAACTGCGATATTGCGATTCTCGAACTTGTTATTCAGTTGCCTATTGCGGGACACATCGAAGTCGGAAGGCGGGAGGACATTTCATATTTCTCGTAATTATTATCCGAAAAAGGGCTCATGGACGCGAATAGTGATCGCGAGTGTTATTCAATCGTCGTGACGTATAAAACATTGATTGCTGCTGTGTGCTAATAATACCGAGCTAATAATGGCAAGGATCTCGGAGAAGCTTTTTTGGTGGATTGGAAATCTGAATTGTTCTCTATTTATTCTCATCACTTTCTTGACCAGATATATCGACAGCACGGTGAAAACTCGAGTATTATCAGGTACATGTATATAATCTATAAAATTGACTGCATTGTTGATGATTGTCATCCATGGCTTTGACGAGTTGTACAATGTTGGCGCGCTAAAAATTTATTATATGGCTGTTTTCGTTTAGATATCTTTTCATGCTGACGCTCGAAGCTTTTTTCGGCATCAAAATAAGTCAAAATCAAAATCAAATATGTAATAAAAATCGACGAATATCAAGCATCAATTTTGATTACATGATCTATTTTGACGCTGAAAATGAGCGTCAGCATGAAAAGGTACCTTTTGGCTGTTCACGCGCTGTCGGCTTCATTTTATCATTTTTTTTTCCATGTGTAATAAACAATAAAGATAGAAATAATAGTGAATTCGGTTACTTGCTACACAGTGGATCAGTGCATATTAGAAGCTGTTATACAGGATGGTCCACTAAATCGATCATCTAAAATATCTCGCTTATTTTTTGATGATAAAAAATGTTTCAAATTAAAGTGGAACGGTTTCGAGGGGGATCCATTTTAGACAAATTTGCTTTTATTCTAGGTGGAGGTGCCAAAAAGATATGAAGATCACCTCTATTTTTTTAAATGGAATTGTATAATTTTTTTATACAATATGATTCTTTTACTTAAAAAAAATTATATAATTCCATTTAAAAGAGTGGAAGTGATTTTCTCTCCATATTTTTTTTGGCGCCTTCGCCTAGAATAAAAGTAAATTGATTAAAATACGTCCCCCTCGAAACCACTTTCGTTTAAAACATTTTTTACATCATCAAAAATAAGTGAGATATTTTAGATCGATTTAAATGGATTATCCTGTATACATGAAATTGGCGAAGTTCAAATGTAAAAGTATATAAATATTTAAACGATTGACTATCTACTAATGATATTATTACATTATTTAACAAAATATACATGTATTTAATTGTCGAAGTTGATTATATTGCATATTGAGATATTTTATATAAAGCAGCTTTTAATATATGCACTAGTCCAGTGTAGTGCGAGTGATCGAATTCATTAATGCTTGTTTCTACCAAGATTAATTTTATCTTTAATCTAGATCTGTAGATTAATTTTAATCTCGGTTCAACTTATTCTTCATCTTTTTTTAATTTTTAGAATTAGAAAAGGGCGAAGAATAAGTTGAACCGAGATTAAAGTTAATCTATATTGGTGGAAATGGACATAAAAATTTAAAGCGTGTGATCAAATTGAACGCAGATGTATGATGAAATATGCCAACACTCTCGCGACCAGTACGGTGAAAAGTAGGATCTATCGAATCAAAAGTAAATATAGATGGTAACTGGAAGATAGATATATGGTTATCTATCGAAGATATGACTGATGTGACTTGACGCTTAACTTTATCAAAAATAAAAATTAATTCTGCAGGCCGTTTGTACTTCGTTTGTACTTGTTTGTACCGATCATCATTTCGTTTATACCTCAAACAGTTAAACAAAAAGTGAAAAATAAAAAATGACCAGCGCGCAACTTTAAAATTTTTTAATTTCATTTATGCCATTCGAAAGAGAATCGTTTGTACCTCTCTTATTTTCGTTTGTACCTCAAAGGGTTCGGAGATACAGCGCGTTTCAGTTTTTGCGCAACTCCTACATAGCAAATTTAGCGAATTTTAAAGATATCGAAATGAGACCAACGGCATTCGAAAGAGAATCGTTTGTACCCGTTTGTACCTCTATTACTTTCGTTTATACCTCAAAGGATTCGGAGATACTATATAGGGGTTGCGCAAAAACTGAAACGCGCTGAAATTAAAAAATTTTAAAGTTGCGCGCTGGCCATTTTTTATTTTTCACTTTTTGTTTAACTGTTTAAGATACAAACGAAATAATGATCGGTACAAACAAGTACAAACGAAGTACAAACGGCCTGCAGTATTAATTTTTATTTTTGATAAAGTTGAGCGCCAGGTTCACATCGGTGAAGATATGTCGATAAATATTAATCGTCGGTAAATAAGAAAAACATTAATGGTAAAAACTTTTTACCATTAATGTTTTTTACTATTACCCGAGTAATAGTTTAAAACGCGTATAAAGATATTCACACAAATTATGCTATATCATGTTTTACATATATATATATTTTTATACATTATTTTTATTATTTTCTAGTTTGCAAAATTAAAATTGCATTTTGTTTGGGAAGAAATTTGAATTGATTATCCGGGAAAAAATATTACATATATAATTATATTTTATATTAATAAACATTTTTTTCCGGATAAATAACGAGAAATAATATTTTTTGGAAAATTGAATTAAAAGTTGATAGTTGTGTTAAATATATGATGATTGTGATTATTTATATAATAAACGTATAATTAATAGTAATTTTTGTAATTAAAAATAGACGTTGCCTGGTATTAAAACAAAATCTTCTCAAAGGATAAAATTATATTTTCCTTATTATCTGATAATATGAGTAAGCAGGTATTCTACAATTCATCATCATTACTGAAAATCATTACTGAAATTAACTGCGTATATTATCAACACGCTCTTTGAAACTAATAGATCAATTCTAAGTAGAATCATGAGGTTCGTAATTTGATCTCATAAGATTTATAAAAACTTATGACTGATGTTCTAATTTTATGCGTGTATACCATGTATGATTCATAAATATCTAACAATTTCTCGTAAATCTTACAGCTAGCAAGAAGTTATCTGCAAAGATTGTATAAAATTACATTTGTAAATTCTTACAAGTTTTACGAGAATATGTTACGAATCTTAGAATTTAAGCATTACAAGTTTTTCACATTATATTTTAATATATTACTTTATATATTGTTGCTTTCGCTAATGATTAAATACTTGTATTGATATTTAAGCAAAATTTAATAATTTTATAGACACACACATATATATATATATATA